TTTCATGTGTAAGTATGTCCAGTAAAAAGTATTTCAAAACCTCTTCTGAGTTGTTTCATAAATTCGCAAAACAGACCAAATGAAGTTTATTCTGTTACATAATCTTGCTCCATTCCATTGTTGATGAAGAATAGATGAGCCATTTTTACCTGTTGCTCAGAAACACCAGAGAATTGAGCTACTGAAAAGAAAACAAACAGGCCACAAGGTTTCACTGCAGAGAGGGTACATTCAGCATTATGTAGCAACTGAAGAAACTGTGATCTGAGAATAGGAAATAAAACTGACAAGCCTTTAACGTGCAAAATAAGAAAACATTAATACATCAACTGATAGTTTCTGTAATTTGCAAGGAAAAATTCTAGTGGTATTAATACCTGCTTCTTTTTCTGGTGTATACTTGGGGAAATTAGAGAAATCAAAATAACATTGTTATATATAGTAATGCTTCCTTATGAGGAAAAGCAACTAATCAACTAATCCTTGAATTTTTGCTAATGTGGAAAAACTCTAAGAATAAGCAATAGGTTGGAATTATAAACCTCAAACATGTAATTTTATCACTTTAAAAATATTATACATACTATAAGCAGAAATACTAAAACCAGGAATACTTTAATGATTAACAATTGCTTACAGGAACATATCAAAGAACCAATCTAAGTCAGACTAATCACCTTTCCTCATAGTTCAGTGATGTGATTTGTAAATAAATCTCTGACAATTTTTTGAAGAGTTTAATATGTTAATATTTTCCTTTCATTCTCTTCTATTCTATTGTAAATTATTCTACTAGTATCCCTGGAAATAGGAGCCCAAAAGATTTCCTGTTGAAATGAATTTTAGAACTACTGGATAAAAAATTTAAAAATTTTAAATTTTTAAAAATAAATTTTGAGAACCTCTCAAGTTTTTAGCATTCACTGTGACTGGGTTGGGGGTGGAAGAAGAGAAGGGGATATAGTAAGCAGTGTTTTCCAAACATATTTCATATAGAATTCTTTACTCTAGGCAACTCTATTGAAATATAAAATGCTACTCTGTTTATTTAACCTGAAATTTTACTTACCTTAAACCTCCCAGCTCCCTTTTGTCTTAATAACTTAAGTAATTAAACCAAGAATAATGTTTCACTTGTGATTTAAGCTTTTCCATTTCAAACTGCCTGATTTAACCAGGGTATATTTTTTGCCCTAGCCAGAACCAATTTTAAAATACAGCTGCATAAGCGTGAAGATAGATGCCATTTACTGGTATTAGAATAATTCTCCCACAATGAAATAGATTTATTTTTGCCTTCTGCAATATAATTCTAATAAGCTATACTGAGCACCTACATTATTTCATGTCATCCTCACATTAACTTAGGAAGGTAGTTATTACAATTGCTATTTCAAAGATGAGAAAAGTCATGGCCCAGAGATACTAGTTATCTTACCCTAAGCCATATAGCTAGGAAAAGATTCAGTCTAACACCAGAAGCTGTACTGTTTCCACTACATCATGCTGGATGGAATTATCCAGATTTAGTACAAATTTGTTTTTTCTTTCATCTTGTAAGCATCAGTGACTCAGACAATATTCTTTTTGTAGAGCCGCAGTCCCCAACCTTTTTGGCGCCAGGGACTGGTTTCATGGAAGACAATTTTTCCACATACTGGGGGCGGAGGGGTTCAGGATGATTCAAGCGCAGTACATTTACTGTGCACTTTATTATTATTATTACATTGTAATATATAATGAAATAATTATAGAACTCACCATAATGCAGAATCAGTGGGAGCCCTGAGCTTGTTTTCCTGCAACTAATGCTGCCGCTGATCTAACAGGAGGCAGAGTTCAGACAGTGATGCGAGCAATGGGGAGCAGCTGTAAACAATGTTGAAGCTTCAGCTTTGACACTCACTTCCTGCTATGCGGCCCGGTTCCATGGACCCTTATCTGCAGCCCGGGGTTGGGGACCGCAGTTGTAGAGCTTTGCAATATGGATTTGCAGTTGGTCTCCAATAAAGTACTTTTTTGGAAGAAAAAAATTCTTGAAGAAGAAAATGTGTAGACTTGCCTCATGTATAGCATTCATTATTGGATAAATATTATAAAATACTTGGGCATTTAAAAAAATCTCAAAGTTGAGAATATGATGAAATTCCTTACTTTTCAAGGCAATAATATGCTATTTCAAGAATTTCCTTCTCTATTATTTCTGTTTCCTCAACATTTTGCATTAAAAATTGCCACGAAGCAGAAAACATACCTTTGTGCTATTGAAGATCCAATAATTGCTGTACTCTATTCTAATGTAACCTGGCATTTTTTCCCCTTTCTTTATTATTTGAGTCTGGTAGTTAGATTTTAATATATAAACTATGGCTCATTATTGGCTTTCTCAAGAGTTCTTTGTTGCTGTTGTCTAAAAGTGCATTTAAAAAACTGCAAAACTAAATAAAATATAAGCATTACAGAAATAACATGAAGCAAATATTTTATCAATTTAGGTGTTTATTCTGAAGAACATAAAAAATAGAAAATTTTTTATTTTCTTCATGAAGTGGACTCATTTTTCCTTTTGGGTTCAGCACTTTACTTAAAACTGTAAGGGGTACAGGAAGAATACTGAGGAATGTTCTTGGATCTCTCACAGTTTACAGTCTGGCTGGTAAGCCAAACATACCCTCCGGGGACAGTCATATTATTTACTGCACCATTCAGTCCTGAAATAAATGATATAGACATTCTGGTGTATATCAGGGAACTGTGGGAGGGATGTGATCAGGAGTGGTAGAACAAAGGAGTCAAACAGTTCTGGGTCAGGTGGATTTTGAAAGTCATGAAGGTATTGGACAGAAACAATAGGAATGAATTCAGAGGCAAGGACAGAGAATCAGCCACAGCATGTGGAGCTGCAGAGGGACAGCATGGGGTCCATAAGGGCCCGGGATAAAACTGTGAAGACAGCATATTTTGTGGCATTTGACCAGCCCTTTCAATGCCTTTTCTCTAGGTACTTTACTCTTTCTCACGTTCTGCACAGGCAGCGAGCTTCTGACCTATTTTGGAAGGCCATTAACCTGTTAGCTGTATCCTACTATAGGACTCTTGAAGCCTGAGAGGTCTTATAGGTTCAAAGAAAAGTTCTCTAATAGTAAAACTTCAAGCCATAAAGATATTAGTATCACTGTTCTAGATCCACTTACATTTCTTAGTAATTATATAAGGCACTGAAGAATATTATAATGGTTTTAAAAAGCTGGTCTTTATTTTGGATTTCATCTTGGGGATATTAGTAAACCATCAGAAATTGTTGATTTTAGTAAGAAATAGAGGGGCATTCTGGGAATTGTAAATGGGAAGCAAAGTGCTAGAAGGGAGATAGGAAAGAATGAAGGCAGGAAAATCAGTGTGCTATTTTAGCAGTCTATGACTTATGTGTAAATGCCTGGACAAAAACTAGGCACTATTTCATCCCCAGAGCATTCCACATTCTAAATTCTCTAAAAATCACAGTTTCCTTTAGCTATCAATGACAATACATTTAGTCACTTTGTAACTCGAATGTTTCCATTAGGAATTTTACCATGCTCTTGATTTTAATTTCAAATGAAATAACTTCTTCCTTAAAATATTATGTTCATGCAAAAATATTCTTTTCAATCAAGTTAAGATCAAAAAGTGTTCTAACTTGTTCTTCAGAGTATAGCCAAGTACAATAAAATATTGGAAGCCTTCCTTTTATGTGTAGGTAGTTTACACGCAACATTTAGGGGAACTTTGTTGACTGATGTCACACTGTGTCTGATTTGGGATATAATTTGAGTCTTTTTGCTAATGAGATTTTAAAAATAACAAAAGGGAATGCTGAAGCTCATTTTAAAAATCGTCTGAACCCTGACATCATTTCTTTCTTGTAGTATCTTGTCTCACCAAAATCCAAGCAATTATTTCTGCATTGTCCCTATCATTCTTTGCTCCATTTTTCTACATCTATGTCCAACTTCAAAGTGAAATTTCCAGATTATTCTTTCACAATTCATTTTCATACAGAACACCACCACGACAAGTAACTTCAAGTATGAAAGTAGCACTCCACGAAGCTTGGCCTTTTCCAGTTTTGACATTTTGGCAACACCAGTCATGCGCCTCTCAGTCATCCTTACCCCAATTCCTTGGACACTAAATATTCTACGTTGAGGAGGCTCTTCGGAGAATACGTTTCAGGGAGCCCAGTCACACACTTCTTTTCAAGCGGGGGCGTTTTGTGAGACTAGGCCTCCCAACTTTATTTCTATTTCTGGATGAAGGAGGGAGGAGTTGAGAGAAAGATTATTAACAAACAAACAAATCTCGCCCGCTCGGCGGGCAGCAGCGAGGGGCGGGCCCGCTCCGCGCCGGCCCGCGCGCCCCCGGCCGGAAGGGGGCGTGGGACGCCGCCGAGGGAAGGGCGCGCAGACGCGCAGCGCCGGGCCGGGCCCCGGGCGCGTCGGGCGGAGGCGGGGGGCGGGGGCCGAGCCAGCGCTCGGCTCCCAGCTCCAAGCTCCCAGCCGCGCGCCCTCGGGCCACTCGCGCTCCCGCGCCGCGCCCGGCCGGCTTCATGTGAAGCTCCGGCCCTCCGCCCCCTCCCTCCCCTTCCTTCCCTCCC